TCCCACACCAGAATGTTACCATAGAGACAAAAGCAGGCATGGGGATTTTAAAATTTAGAAAGCAGAGTTTTGATAAGAGCAATCTCTAGATTTTATCTTTCTTCTGTTTCATACCAGGTGACTCCTGATATGAGACAGAAACTTTGACATTTTCTTTTAACAACATGCTTGGATTTAGAGTGTAGCCACATCCAACACCAAAGCCAGTTTTTAATTTTAATGATTGGTGACTACCACTATGGATTTTCGAGACAGGGTTTCTCTGTGGTTTTGGAGACTGTCCTGGAACTAGCTCTTGTAGACCAGGCTGGCCTCGAACTCACACAGATCCGCCTGCCTCTGCCTCCCAAGTGCTGGGATTAAAGGCGTGCACCACCACTGCCCGGCCTATATGTATGTAAATAAGATAGTACCCTGCAGAGGATATTGGTCTTATAAGTCAGATTTCTCTTTGCTTGATGACACTTTCTGGAAAGTTACCTTTTTTCTTTAAGTATCTAGATGTCCAACATCTTTTGACTTAGAAGATGGGTATTTTCCTGCAAAGACAAGAATAGAACCCTGTTCCAACCTAGGAGGTTTCCTTATAACCTGTGGATTGTTGCCTATGTGGACGAACTGTCATTTCTCTTTATCACGAGGTTTCTCCCTTTCAAACTGAATCTTGGTATCCATAGCTTTTCTTCTCTGGTGGAAACAAGAGGGAAACCCCTTCCCTAACATAGCATATCTCCTGGTTTTCATTCTGAGGTCAACAGACCCTTGAAATACACCGGCTGATTAAATTTAGAAGTTTTTTTTCTATTATCCAATGTCTCTCTGTAGCCATTGTTCCTTCCTCGTTAGCGTTAAGAAAATTGAGGGTTAATAAAGCATTATGCAATCTATTTCTGCGGGCATTTTTCATCCTTTTCTGTTTGTTTAACATATCCTTTAGTTTGATTTGATCTTTCTATAACTGTCTAACCTGAAGTATTGTGTGCTATACATGTAATAAGCTTTGTATTATAATAAGCAAAAACTGCTTCATTTTATTAGAGACATATGCTGGACCATTCTCTGTCTTTATTTGTGCAGGTATCCCCATGATAGCCATAACTTCTAGTAAGTGTGTAATTAACGATTCAGTGTTTTCTTAACACAAAGCAGTTGCCCATTGGAAACCTGAATCAATTGTGTGGTGTATATATTTCAGTTTTTCAAATTCTACAAAGTGGAGCACATCCATCTGTCAATTTCATTCATTTGAGTACCCTTTGGGATACTTCCTGCAGATAGTGGTGTTTGGTTATATAAAGAGCAAGTAGGCTATTTCCTTATAATCTCCTTGGCTTGTTGCAATGTAATAGGAAAGTCTTTTTTAAACCCTTGCTATTGACATGATGTTTTTAAGATGAAATTCTGAGGCCTTCAGCACATTTTCAATCAGTAATTGATCAATTTCTGCATTCTGTGGTAGAGGGTCTAGCAGATCCGTATGGGACCAGATGTGTGTTATGAATATGTGACAAAGCCTATTCCTGATTATATCCTGATTATATATTATTTTTGACCTTTAATAAATAATGAAGTCAATTCTGTATCATCTAGTATAAATTCAGTGGTTTCAATATACAAAACAACTTTCCTGCATATTGCGAATCAGTAACTATGTTGAGAGGTTCTTTATAATCCTTTATAAGTCTAATCCTATCACTTTTAGAATAGTTGCTATTAATCTCTACCAAAAAATTAGTACGAGCTCTTAGCCAGGGTTTATTGTCTTTTCATAATTCCTCAGTCACAAGAGAAGGAAACTCTTAATCTCAGGGTTATGGGTTCAGGCCCCATGTTGGGTACCAATTTGTAGTAGTACCAAGAGTTTCACAATAGACCAGAATCGAGTATAACAAAGCTTTATTTGGAGATAAACTCACATTAAGGGTAATGATTCATATTCCTGTGTGTACTGGGAGCTGGAACTGAATCCAGTAGATAAGAGGACCATGTATACTTTTGTTTGCACTTGTAGTAGATGAGATCTACTACAGGATCTTGAAGGCCATTGGCTGAAAGAGTTCTCACAACAGGATTCTAGTCAAGGACAGACTATTGAAAATGTTTTATTTGTAAAAAGATGTTTTATTTGAATTCATTACAAAAGTATGGGCTACCAGACTCATAAAGGCAAATGCATGTTCTCTTTCATCTTTGTTTCTTAACTCCAAATCCTCAGATCAAAGGGAGGTGATCACAGAAAACCACCACTGGTCACAGTGCAGAAATCAGCAGATTGTGGGGAGTGTAACTCCAAGGGCTACATCTACATCACAGATCCTGCATCTATGGCTAAGGGGACATTTCAGAAGAGGGGGTGGAAATGATTGTAACAATTAGGTTATCGGCAAGTCTGCTTTGAAAAGGTCCATCCTAGAAATGACTTATAATCAAGACTGGACCAATGGCAGCATCAATGGGCATATTAACATGGAAGGGAGAAAATTTCATGGGGTCACACTCCTAGATAAAGAATTAGAAGCAACTAATGACTGTTGGGAAAAGGAGAATTAGTTTCTTTTAGGGTTGAACCCCCTTATTTGTTGTCCAATACAGATTGGTCAACTCTGAAATATTATAGAAACCACAGAAACAGACCTATCAGATTGCCTCTACATCTACTTTTGTATGTATATATATGCATATAAGTGTATGTAACAGTAATAATAAAAGAATAATTTGAGACTGTATGGAAGATATGAGAAGAAAGGGTTTGAGAGAATGTAGTTGGGAGGGGCTGGAGGGAGAAAAGGAAGTGAGAAGTGATGTAATTCTATTTCAATTAAAATTTTTTAAAAAAGAAAAAATAAAACAAATATTAAACAGCACAGTTGGTAATACTCCATGGGTGCAACCTCTGATATTACCAGGTGATACAATCCCACAGCCGATTCCCTCATTCACGTGCTCTTTAAACCTTCTGTCCTGCCTTCATCAATGTTCCCTGAGCCTTAGGTGCAGAAGCTGTATTGCACATACAGCCAATGGGACTGGGCTTCACTATTCTGCATTTCGATTGGTTGTGGTTTTCTGTAATGATCTCCATTGTCACAAAGAGAAATTTCATTGATGCTGTGTGAGGACTACACGTAGGAGGCCTGCATCCTACACAAAGAACTGCACACAACTAAGGAAAGTCAAGAGTGGGAGAAATAGTCATCCCCAGGAAAGAGCACACCACTTGGTTATCCAATACCAAGTGGTTAGCCCTGAGTACATACGTACATGTAACATTATAGCGACTGAGTAGGTAGTATTGATGTATTTACAGACACACACATACGCACACAAACATACACACATGTACGTAACAATAATTAATGAAAAAAAGAGGCCTTGAATTTGAGAGAGAAAGAAGAGGCATATATAGGTGGGTTTGAAGGGCAGAAAAGAAGGTGGAGAAATGCTGTGGTTATATCATAATTTCAAGATTAAAAGAAATAACTAAAAGCATACTGAAACAGTAAATTAAGACAGCGATGGTACTAGGACATCCACTGTATACCTTTCATTTATAACACTAAAGAGTCTCACAAACAGCAGCACCTTAGGTAGGTAACAGTTAAGATAGGGAAATGTATTTGTTCAATGGTTAAAAGACATTCCTTAGGACAGAACACTCCACATAAGGAACCCAAATTTCAAAGGGTTTTTTAAATTTTTGATTAGAAGTGTTTTAACAGAGAAAAATTGAGAAGTAGACTATTGTTCAAAATACTTAAAATGAATTTATTTTTCCCAAAGTGTCATAACTTGAGTTGGTTGTAAATGCTGAAATTATAAAAATTATGAATACAGAGTTGTATTCAAGAAAAATGTTAACTCTCTGAATTTTAATATCGTACAGAATGTCTGAGATATAACTAAGGTCATATCGGGTATTTGAGGTCCACATTTAAATTCTTCATCTCATGGGAATCATTAAGAAGTGTACAAACAATGAGAAAGTGTGGGTTTCAGTTCAGCCACGAAGTGCACGTTGAAAACAGGTCATTCTCAGTGCCGAAATGGAAGAAGTGAAGTGCAAAATAAGTTTATTATTCTTCATTATTAAAAAGGGGCAGATGGTTGGATAGCATGCTGCCCAAAATGCATTAATTCCCTCCAAATTTAGAATTTTTGTAGGTGCATAAAATCCATAAAGGGTGATAAAGTTGTTCAACCAATACAAGATCACAAAACAGCTCACCAGCAGCAAGATGCTGTGAGTGGCTCTGAGCTCGGGAGATTGCTGGCTGGAGAGGCTTGGGCTGCGGAGATACTGGGCCCTCTTGCGGTGTCTGTAGAGGAGAATTACCATGTACAGGCTGGTCCACATCATGATGCTCACATAAAAAAGATCGTACATGATAATGATGCTTATAAATGGTCCTGAATTTTGGTTCCCCAAATTTCTGCTTTGACAGTAAGCATGTAAATATACACGTCCAACTTGAGTAGAATTGGTTTTGG